AGGGCAGCTGGCGGCAGAGCGGGGCCCGCGACCTCAGGGCCTCCTGGGCGGGCGTGCAGCGGTGTCGGCGCGTCTTCTCGGGCACTGCCGTTCGTCCTCGACGTACCGACCTCCCCGCTCCCGCGTCTCCAGGTTGTTTCGAAGGACAAATCTTACCAAAAATGTAGAACCGGGAGACAAAGGCCTGAAACTGCCTGTGGTGCTCTTTTTCTTCTAAAGCGGAGAGTGAGGCAGGCCTAGGAAAGAACTCTTGCTCGCTCAGCGGCCTGGTTTCCATTCTCGCCTAACTTACCTTGTAGTGCGGTACTGTGGCGCTAGGTTTTAACTTGCTTGTTTTCTAAATGGGAATTTAGTGTGATCCCTCTGGAGAGGGCTTTGGTGCCCCGCTGCCGCTATTCCAGCCCTGGCGCGGCCACGCTCTAACCTGCCTGCCTATTGTGGCAGAATTGACCCGGTGGTTGAAAGAACTGGACGGTGCACGTTAATGCCCGCCGAATGCGAGCTGCTGTAATATTTCAGGACCGGGGGCGGGGGAGACTATCCTCTGATTTAAATCAGTCCCCACCCCCATTTTTAGTATAACAGGAATTTAACAAATAGTTCCTTTTGTGTTAGTACGAAAAACAAAAGTCAAGAGCAAAGTTACAGTTAGGAAGAATAAGTTTAGGTATTCTGTTGCACAGTAGAATGAATGTAGTTAATATTGTTTCGAGGTGGTTAGAAGAACCCCGGGGGCACCATACTACTGAGCTCCATTCCTAGCCCTTTTCGTTTTGAGACAGGATGTGGCTGAGTTGCTCAGGAGGGACTCCTGCCTCAGCCTCCCTCAGCTTGGATTACAAGCATGCATTATTTCGTCAGACTATGTGAGGATTTTTAAACGTTTTGCCACAAAGAAATAGTTACAGTGATGGATGAAGGAATCAGACCATCATCTTGAGACCAAGGTGGCATTTAAAGACATATCTTCTTAGTTCTCATACACATACTAAAGTTTCAGTTTCCCCAAAATCAAAAGCCTGTTGGTCAACTGGCACCAGCTGTCTGCTTGAAGGACAACCATACCAGCCCAGTTCCAACTCCTTAACTATAAAATGTAAAGCCCTTGAGTCGGTAATAGACAAAGCCATTTGGTCCTCATACCAGTGGTCCCTTTCAGGTTTTAATCTCTATAAAACCTGACCTTGGCTGTGAAGCTGGATGCTTTTTACTTTTTTCCTAACAATGGATATGCTAATTGCCTTGATTTGATCATCCCACAATATATGCCTATATCAAAGCACTGCATTATATCCTGTGAGTCTGCACAGTTATTACATGGTAATTTTAAAAAGCAAAGCTGACGTCTCTTGGATATAAAGGCCTTTGGAAATTAATTCTGGGATATTTTGTAGTATTTCAATCTCTTTCAGGTTTTATATAAATTGACTTATAACTTATCCAGAATGCTAGTTTTTTTGTCTGTTTGTTTCTGTTTCTGATACTGGGGATTGAACTCAGAACCATGTGCTAGCAAGGCAGGCAGCGAAACCTCAGAGTTAAATCCCTAGCCTCTAAATTGACTTATAACTTGAAGAAGTGAAATCTAGTTTTAAAAGTAGTAAGTAGGAGCAGGGACCCTTAAATCAGAGGCTGGAGTATGGTGGTGCCTACCTCTAATCCTAGCACCCTGGAAGACTGGTGGAGGAAGATTGCAAGTTTGAGGCCATCCCAAGGAATTCAGCACCTTAGACTCTGTCTCTGAATAAAACTAATAAAAAGGGCTGGGGATGTAGTTTAGTTCAGTGTGAAGGTCCTAGGTTCAATCTGCACCACACACAAAAAGTAATATGTCAGGCTGAGGGTGTAGCTCACTGATAAAGTGCTTGCCTTGCGTGCAGAAGGCCCAGGGTTCAATCCATAGCACTACAAAAAAGGAAGGAAAAAAAATCGCCAAGGTGAGGCAGGAAGATGGCAACTTCAAGGCTATCCTGGGTAAAAGTAAGATGTCAGGGATTCTACCCTTTGAAGTTCACCTCGTCTTACTTAAAAGTGTCGTCACAGCCAGGGATTTGGCTCAGTGGTTCCACCACGTGCCTCACAAGCGCAAGGGCCTGAGTTAAAAAAAAAGTATAGTCACAGAAACATGTAAAATTATTTGAAGTGTCCAAATGCAAGTTGTTTTTGGAAAGAAATAGTACTTGCAGCTGTAATGCAAATACTGACTTTATTTTTCAATGCTGAGGGTTGAACTCAGGGCCTCATGTGTACTAGCCAAGTGAGAGGCCTTATAGAATTGTTTTTGTTTTATCTGTAGAGATAAACATTTGTGGCAGATTTTGTGTGAAACTTGAAAAAAGTATGAACTGGATTGGTTTCAGAGATGTCTTTAGAGATCAGTTCTATTTCAGAATGCTCCAGGTGAATCTCAAACTTTTTAAAAGTAGCTCATGGTGGGTGGAATGATTGTGTTTTGTGGAACTGACTGTGTTTTCTTTCACTTGTAGAAAGTACTAGGTGGAGACAGTGCTGTGAGGGCCTTCCAGAACACCACAGCAACTGCACATGTACCAGTGTCACATTATCGGATTGTAAAGAGTGTGGATTCCAGTGAAGAGAGTTTTTCTGATTCAGATGATGATAGCTCTCTTTGGAAACGCAAGCGACAGAAATGTTTTAACCCACCTCCCAAACCTGAGCCTTTTCAGTTTGGGCAGAGCAGTCAGAAACCACCTGTTGCTGGAGCAAAGAAGGTTAACAACATATGGGGTGCTGTGCTGCAAGAACAGAGCCAAGATGCAGTGGCCACAGAACTGGGTATTTTGGGAATGGAGGGCAATATTGACAAAAGTAGACAGTCAGAGACCTATAATTATTTGCTTGCTAAGAAACTCAAGAGGGAATCTCAAGAATTTACAAAAGAATTAGACAAAGAGTTAGATGACTATATGCATAGTGACAAAAAACTAGGCTCAAATGAAGAGGAAAATGGTCAAGGTCATCTCAAAAGGAAGCGACCTGTCAGAGACAGGCTCGGGGATAGACTGGAAATGAACTATAAAGGCAGGTATGAGATTACAGAAGAAGATTCTCAAGAAAAAGTGGCTGATGAAATTTCTTTTAGGTAAGTATTTAAATTTTACAGGACTGGGGATTTAGCTCAGTGATTCTGGCAACTGCCTTGCAAGTGCAAGGACCTGAGTTTGATCCCTGGCACCAAAAATAAATAAATGAATGAATGAATAAATAATAAATTTTACCTACAAATGAGCCCCTGTCCAAATATCTTATATTTATAGGGAATAAAATAGATGCCAAATACATTAATGATGATGTTCCTTTTAGACTCTTTGTTTTTGTTTTTTGTCTTAAGGAATTAACCCTGGGCTTATGTGGTTATATGAATGCACTTGTATTTTCTTACATGATAGTTTTACTTACTCATGAATTTTTAAGCAACTTTACATTTAGTGCCATGTAACTCCTTACATAAAACATCTTTTATTAAAATTAATGGTTTTTGTTTTGTTTTGGTTTGGTTAGGGTTTTTTGAGACAGGGTTTCATTATGTAGTTGAGACTGACCTGAAACTCACTATGTAGCTCAGGCTGGTCACGAACTCACAGCTCCTGCCTCAGTCTCCTGAGTGCTGGGATTACAGGCATGCGCCCCCACGCCCTGCCCTTACTAAAATTAATGTTATTGGCACACTTTTGATACACGTAATGATCACATTCATTGTTGGGAATTTGTACCTGTACACATCTTGGTTCTTTTATCCCCATTTCCCTGTCTCCCTTCAACTCTTTATTTACAAAGCTTTGCTTCCACTTTTTCCCTTCCATTCCCTTTTTTTTTTTCCTCATTGAGTTTATTGGTACATTTTAGGTATACAGTACAGTTATGTTCATCAACTTCCATTTTCTTTTCACTTGTACTTTTCCCTTCTTTCCCTTCCCCCTGCTTCCTCCCTTCTTCCCATTTGAACATTTTCTTCCTACTTTCCAATATGTTTCATCCATTTTGATCCTTATGTATGCTTTCAGTTTCTCACACAAACAGTGTGATACTTAAACATATGTCTTGATTTATTTCATTTTAAAGTATGGTCTCAAAAAAAAAAAAGTATGGTCTCAAGGTGCATCCATTACCTAAAAATGTCTCAGTGTTTATCCTTCTTTATGGCAGAGTAGTATTCCATTATATATGAAAACCACTTTTTTTTTTTTTTTGGTACTGGGGAGACCACATTTTTTTATTCATCCATTCATTTGTTTATGGGCATCTAGGCTAGTTCCAAGATTTAGCTATTACAAATTGTGCTGCTATAAACATGGGTGTGCATATATTGCTGTGGTATGATGCCTTTAGTTTTCAGGAAGATATAAAGAAAGGGAATATCTAGGTCAAATGGACCTTCTAGCTTTAGTTTTTCTCTTTTTTCTTTCTTTTTGTTTGGTACAGGAGATCAAACTTGGGACCTTGTGCTTGAGAGGTAGGTGGCAGAACCACTGAGCTAAATCCCAGCCCTCTAGCTTTAGTTTTTTGAAGAATTTCCATGCTAATATCTATAGTAGTGTACCAATTTATTTATTTATTTAGAGAGTTTTTTGAGACAGGGTCTCACTATGTAGTTGAGACTGATCTGGAACTCACTCTGTAGCCCAGGCTGGTCTTGAACTCAGGGCCGTCATCCTGCCTCAGCCTCTCAAGTGCTGGGATTACAGGCGTGCACCACCACGCCCAGCAGTAGTGTACCAGTTTGCACTCCTACCAACAAGAGGAGTTTATTTTCCCCCACAGCCTTACCAGCATTTGTTATCTCACTATGTAGTTGAGACTGATCTGGAACTCACTCTGTAGCCCAGGCTGGTCTTGAACTCAGGGCCGTCATCCTGCCTCAGCCTCTCAAGTGCTGGGATTACAGGCGTGCACCACCACGCCCAGCAGTAGTGTACCAGTTTGCACTCCTACCAACAAGAGGAGTTTATTTTCCCCCACAGCCTTACCAGCATTTGTTATTGGTTGTTTTTTTTTTGGTTCTTGGTTTTTTTGTTTTGTTTTGTTTTGGTTTTGGTTTTTGGTTTTTGGTACTAGGGATCAAACTTGGGCCCTTGTGCTTGTGAGGCAGGCAGCAGAAGCACTGAGCCAAATCCCTGACAATTGGTTGATTTCTTGATAGCTACGCTTTCTGGAGTACAAACAGATCTTTTTAGCACATATGTTTTGATTATTTTCAAGCATTTGTGACGTAAAAATAACTGAATAGAGATGTATTTTGTATGGGAACTATTCACCTGTTTTCAAGTGTTGATTTTGTACTAAATTTATCAAGTTGTACAACCATCAATATCACTTTTAAAACCTTTCCATCACCCAGTGAGATCTCTTGTGTCCATTTATCCACTCACAGTGAATCACTGTTCTCACCCCCAGACAACTACTAATCTTCTTTCCATCTGTACAGATTTGCATTTTCTGGACAAATGAAAACCAGTGTGTGGTCATGTGCCTGCTTCTTTCTCTTGTGAAATGTTTTTGAGATTGATCGATGTTGTAGCAGTAATCAGTACTTGATTCCTTTTTAGTGTGAGTATAGATATGTACATAAAATGATTTAAAAATGAATGTTTAAACTTTTAAGTGTATTATAGTAAAAGACACATTGCCGTTAATCTCCATGAAAATAGTCCCCCTTGCCTCAAACACATTTTTTTCCATTGATCTTGCCACTTTCTGAAGCAGTTCCAAAAGTTCTCTTTTGTGTCTAGGTACACTGCTATGGCTCCCTTGAGTGTATTGAGTCAATTCAAAATGTTTACCTTCCATTGCCATTTTGACTTTGGAGGTTATCCAGGAGCTGCACAGAGCTAGAGCCGGTGAATTAGGTGGATGAGGACACACTATAATGATTTTAAGGTTGGCACTTAGCATTTGCCATGTTTTTTTGTGGGGAGGATATCGGGGATTGAACTCAGGACCTTAGGCTTGCAAGGCAGGCAGCAGAATCACTGAGCTAAATCCCCGGCATGCCATGTTTTTTAATCACAACTCATAAAAACACTCAGGAAAGAGGCCTTGCAGAACTGCTTCAGAAAGTGGCAAGAAAGATGGCAAAGTAACTATAAACACAATTTTTTTTGTGGGGGTGCCAGGGATCAAACTTGGGTCCTTGAGTTTGCAAGGCAGGTGGCGGAACCACTGAGCTAAATCCCCAGCCCAACACTGTATTTTTTTAATCATTCCTTGCATATATAACATCCATAAGTATTTCCCTTTTTGGCTATTATGAATACTGCTATTATGAACCTTTGCACCCATACCTGTGGACATAGGTTTTCATTTCTTTGGGATAAATACCTAGGAGTGAAATTGCTTATGGTAAATGTACAATTCATTTCCTTTTTCACAGGTTCAAGGTTTATTTTGTTTGTTTTTTGTTTGTTTTGGTTCCAGGGATCGAACTCAGGATCTTGTACTTGTAAGGCAGGCTGCAAAACCACTGAGCTAAATCCCCAGCCCTACAAGTTCAAGTTTTAATTAACTTATCTTTAACTCTGAGTCACTTGTTATAAGCTGAAAAGAAGCTAGGTGTTGTGGTACACACTTACAATCCTAGAATTGAGAATCTGAGGGAGGAGGAACAACACAAGTTTGAGGCCAGACTGGAATACATAGTGAGACCTGTCTTGAAGCAGAAAATCCAAAACAACAAAAAATAGGTTGAAAACAAATGTGGTTCAAGAGTAAAATTGTCAGGTATTTACTTTCCAGGCAAGTCTTTCAGTACATGCTAGTACTGGATTTTTTTAAGTATATGTACTGCCTAAGCGAGCACATTGCTGGATTTGTTTTTGTTTTTTTCTTTGTTTTTGGTACTGGGGATTGAACTTGGGTCCTTGTGCTTGCAAGACAGGCGATGGAACCACTGATCTAAATCCCTGGCCCCAAACTTAAGAGTTTGTAAATGAAAGCCTTCATTTACAGATGTGGATACTGAGGCCCAGTAGTTATGTGGCCTACCTAACATCACTTATTTGGGGTGGCGGGTACTGGGGATCGAACTTGGGTCCTTGAGCTTGTGAGACAGATTGCAGAACCACTTAACTAAATTCCTGGCCCCAATATCACAAATTTTATTGTCAGACCTGCATCAGTGTTTCCACAATAACGTACTTCCTCGTGATGAGAAGACAAAAGATCCTGGGTCTGATTGGGGAACTGGTAAGGGTTCTATACTACTTTTCCTTCATTTCTGGAGAATGTGGGCTCTGACCCATTCAAGATTTACTTTAGCTTCCTGTGTTTTGACTCAGAACACTGAAAGAATTGACAGCATGCATAAGATTCTGAGGATTTTGCATATTGTGACTAATGAATCATCATTAAATATTAGGTATTTCTATTTTTGTTCTGAGTTGGTGAGCCTGTGAAGAAGTCCTTTTTTTTAAATCCACAGTCAAATGTATTAACAAAATACTACATAACAATGAAAGGAGCACACTTCTGCTATTCTCAGTAATAAGAATGACTCACAGAGAGTAGACAAAAGGAGCAAAAGTAGAAGTCCACATAACTGAAGTTCAAGGAATGGCCAAACTCACTCCAGTTTAAAGCTTCCAAACATCTGTGGAGTTAGGAAAGCTAACTTTTAGGAATAATCTTTGAAAGTGTAATGCTTATTATTTGGACACATAATTGAAAACATAGTATATGTGGCTTATTTTGACAGGAGTGGTCTGGTTTTGTCTTATTTACATTTAGGCTTGTGTTTACCTTGCTAAATATGCACATTTTGGCGGAGGGTACTAGGGATCGAATTCAGGTCCTTGTGCTTGCAAAGCAGGCGCCGGAACCTCTTGAGCTAGATTCCTGGCCTGCACACTTATTTTTAAATCTACCATAGTCTAGAAAGGCAAGTGAAGAGGCCTCGTATGAGAGTTGAGATGGAACCTTGGGGTTAATATCTCTTTGTATGACTGAAGATTAGGGTTTTCTCTTGTCAGTGATTCTGGGGTAATTATTGAAGATTTAGAAAGCAAACCTTACAGTAAGATTTGTACTAGTTGGGGACTATACTGGAGAATAATATAACAATAAATAAGAGGTTAAGTTTGTTCATTTATTTCTTATCAGGTTACAGGAACCAAAGAAAGATCTGATAGCCCGAGTAGTGAGGATAATTGGGAACAAAAAGGCCATTGAACTTCTGATGGAAACTGCTGAAGTTGAGCAAAATGGTGGCCTTTTTATAATGGTAAGGCTGTTTCACTAGTTTATTTTTGTTCTACTTATCATGTGATTTTTATTGTGGTTGTTAAAACGAACTTGCCTCTGCTGGACCTCTTATAATTATAATCACATGTTTCATGTTTTTAGAAAATTACTTGAACGATGAAGACTGAATCTAAAAGTTCAGTAGTATGTTCCCTCCACTTCAGTACGGAGGCGTGAACCCAGGCCCTTCACATTGGCTATATCTCTAGCCCTTTTAGTTTTCTTTTTGTTGTTGTTTGTTTGTTTGTTTGGTTTGGTTTTTTTGGTACCGAAGATCGAACTCAGGACCTTGTGCTTGCAAGGCAGGCGGCAGAACCACTGAGCTAAATCCCCAGCCCTGGTTTTCTTATTTTGAGACAGGATCTTGCTAAGTTACTCAGGCTGGCCTCAAACTACAGTTCTGCCTCAGCCTCCTGAATAGCTGGAATTACAGGCTTGGACCACTATGCTTGACAGTAATTTTTTGCAGTTGATAGTTTCCACATTTAAAAAAAAAAAAGTTAAATAGTAGGTTGTTAGTGTGCGGTCACTAAAGGGGAAAGCGTATTAAGAGGCTGATGCACTCATCGAGGAGAGAAAGAGTAGTGGGTTGGACCACAGGGACAGCAGTGGGGAGAGGAAGTAACTGACAGATTTCCTGATGGATCGGTTGTGTGAGGCCCCAAGTTCCACCCCCAGCACTGCAGATAAAGGGGGAGTGGGGGCTAAGGTGGTGTGATGTTTGTTGTGTGCTTATTACCACAATACGAATACAAAAAGTACAACAATATGTAGTAAAACGCAACCCTCCCACTCCTCTCTTCCGCTGTTCAGGCGGTTCTCACACTGTGACATACATGATAATATATTTACATTATTCTGCACCGCGCTTGTTTTCATTTCATGTATCTTAGCAGTCTCATGTCACTATAGAAAGAAATCCCAGTTATTCTTTTTCACAGTTGGTAATGTGAAAGTACCGTAATTTATTATTTCTTTTATGTTTTACACACATACAAACTCTTTTGTTGATCTTACATTTGCAAATTTGCCTAGTTGCTAGAGTTTAATAACCTCAAAATCAATTCTAGTTGTGCTGTTATTCACAGACATGCAGAGTGGCAGAGAACTTAAGTTGTCCATTATGCACATTCTCAGGTGAAGTTGAACAAAGGAGCACTGTCATGTTTCAGTTCTCATTGTGTAAACAAGTGTCCTTTCAAAGTCTTTTGTACTTTATTTTTCTGGTGATTTAGCTATTTAGAATGGACCCTCAGTGGTCGAGCTGAAGTGCTAACATTTCTAAATATAAGACTGATGTGCTTTAGAGGGAAAGTGTGTGAGGTAAACGCCATTTAGGCATGATAACTGCTGTTTGCTATGAGTTCAGTGTTAATTAGTGTATCTATCTGTGTCTGTATATTTGGTCATACTTTGGTGGTACTGGGCATTGAGTCTAGGGCCTCATGTCCAAATGTGAACTCTACCACTGAGCTACAGCCTTAATTCCAACAGTATATTTTAAATAAGATGTCTTTGTTTTGAATTCAGTTTTGGTTTATGTTTTTATTTTTTTCGATGCTACAGATTGAACTCAATAGCATTAACCACTAAGTTACATCCCCAGCTCTTATTTTAGTTTTTACTTTGAGACAGGCTTTCCCTAAATTGTCCAGGCTGGCCTTGAACTTGAAATTCTCCTGCTTCAGCATCTGCTGTAGTTGAGATTACAATCATGTCCTACTGTGCCGACTTTTTTTCTTTTTTGGTACTAGGAACCATGCCTGACTTTTAAAGTGTCTTTAAATAGAAATTCATATATGACAACATTACATATTAATCTGTTAATAGTTGTAACCAGGGCCTCACAGAAACCTAACCCTGTATTCCGTAGAGCAGTGTTCAGTGAAATAACTATCAGGAATAGTGAGAAGAGACTGCATGCGCATATATCCTATGATGTTTGATTCATTTAGACTATACCGTGTACAAGGCATGAGGTGCCGATCTTAGTTATTTCCTTAGATGGCTCAGTAGCTCCCAGCAGCAATTATTGAATAATCCATTTTATTTTTTGTTTAAGCTAATCTACTATATCATAGACTAAATTGTCTTGTAAATTTGTCTTTATTTTGGGTTTTCTGTGCTGTTATACTGATCATTCAAATTTTATTTCATTACAACTCTTAATTTTTGAGGCTTTATGGTATATTTTAATATCTAATAGAAGACCAGTGTAGTGATACACATCTGTAGTTCCAGCACTCAGGAGCCTGAGGTAGGAGGATTGCTGTGTGTTTAAAGGCACCTGGAATGCATAATGAGACCCTATTGCAAAAAAAAAAAAAAAAAAAAAAAATAAAAAAAAAAAAAAAAAAAAAAAAAAAAAAAAACTAATGGAACATTTATTGATTTGGCCAGATGGCAGATCAGACTCAAAAAATAGGGTGTTTCTTCCATCTTGGTAATGTGTCTCTCCTGGAATAGGTCTTGATAGTTTATGGGAAGAGTCTGTGTAGTTTAGGGCCTGAGAATGTAGCTGTGGTAGAGCACTTACTTAGCATGCTAGAGGCCCTGGTTCCATCCCCAGTGCTGCAAAAA